CGCTAGTGGTAGGCCCGACATTATGGAAGGTCGAAAGGCTGCCATAAGCACGCCCAAAGTCTGGATCTTCGACAGTCCGTTTCTCAAGGGGTACTGACCCTACTTCCGGATTGGCGACTTTCATATTCGAATTTCGACTTGGAAGTGAGGGACGAAAGCCTTCATCATCGGCACCCATGAAACGCGAACTAAGAAGGGCTTCAGAATCATCTACACGGAATTCGCAGCTCGTTCGATATGTGACCTCGACAGAGAATGGACCAGCAGGTGAATCCGTCACCCCAAAGGTGTACGTCTCCACAACTTTACCGCTGCTTTCAAACAGTGGCATCGTCAACCGATCTGGCTTCGAGCTCCCTGCATCGGGATTCCCCGCCGAAATACGGTATTTGATCCGCAAGGCCGGGTGTGCTCGAAGTCTGCCGGTGCGTTTCGCAAACTTCCAGGCAGGCAAGAATTTAGAATATGTGAACAAGGACCTGAACAGGACGATGCTCTTTTTGTAGATCGTAGGCAGAACAGAACCAAGATCCGTCGGTAGTTTATCAGACATGCCTCCGAGTTCCACCTTCCACCGCTCCAGAATCACATCGTCAGACCCAGCCGAGAGGGGCGCGGTAGATCGCCTTTCTGGAGACGAGGACAGAGACTCCAAAACATCAAATCGTTTCCCATGTTCATCCAAGGCAACGAGGCTTTGGTTGTTGGTGAGCCCTTTAGTGTCTAGGTATGTCTCGATAATCAGCGGCGGAGGCCGGTTCTCACTAGCATCACATGTTCTCCAGGTTCGTAGTTGTTCTCGCAGCACGTCAGTATCTTCTAGCTCAACGTTGAACTACCGAGTGTGTTAGTTGTGATCAGCATGTCAGATCTACTCTGGGCGGTCTCGAGAGCTGAAGACAAACGGGGCGGTATCAGAGCAACGTACCCAGCGGTTAACCCTAGGAGTATCGGAGCCTTTGTTGAAGGATGGAGGGAGCTCAACGCGGGAATGAAGGATTATCAGAGCGGCTTTGGTATGGTAATTCTAGAGTAATACTTGTATCAGCAAAGCACCAGCAAAAAAGAAAAGAAAAAGAACGAGACCAGATCAAGCACGTTAAGGGAGCCCTACTGATATGATTTGGTTGAGTTTAGCTATGGCTTCTTTTGAGGGCCGTCGAGCTTGGCTCTGCTCTGGCGACTCAGGGCCCGTCTCTATCCCCAATCCTCTGCTTGATGTTCTAGGATCGAAGGCTGGGGAAGTTGGACGAGTATCCTGCTCTCGATTGTCCTCCGAGCGGCTCGACCTGGTTGCAGATGCGGGTGGCGGAGGGGCCGGTGATCGAGGATGTTGATGCATGATGTTTTGTTGTAAGTTTGAGAATCATATAAAGAGCAAGTAGTTGAATATAGACACAGAATCCAAAAGGACCGTGGAGCAGATCTGGTTGGATCAAGGAAATAGAAAGGTACCAGTTGCGCTGCGGATAGCCATGCTAACGGACCAAGCTGCCAAAAAGAAGTTGTATAAGGTAACAAACAACAATGATACCGTAAGGGGGGAGGAGTTAGGCGCTAGGTAACAGGCACAGAATGGAAGATGTGAGAGAGAGGATCGGGTTCATGGTTTGCTGTGCTCAGGCAACAAGATGCTGAAGAGCATTCGGAGCATGGGGCCTAGACAACCTTGGGAGGCTTCTCCGCATTAACGACCGACTTGGGCGGAGAAAGGGAGAGGGGATGTGCACGGCGTCCTCACGTTGAGGGAAATGAAGCATTCAAGAATCCATCCTGCTTCACAATGTAGAGAAGGTCTGGTTCAAAAATGCAGCCAGGGGGATGGGGGACAGAGCAAGAAAGTTGAGAAAGGGAGAAAAGATGGGAAAGGATGGCGGTAATGTCAATGGCAGAAGGAAGATAAGTTAAGTAAGCTAGTAGTAGTAACTTAGAGAGGGAGAGGGAGGGAGAGCCAGACGGAACCTGGGCTGCGGAGGAGCAATGGATGATGAGAGGGCGAACTGTTGTACTGTACCGTACGGAAACCAAGTGGTCTGTGACGCACACCCGGTGACTCGAGGGTCAAGTGCAAGTGCAAGCGGTCAGTCAGGCTGATGACGGGTGCCACCACTGCCCTTTCAAAGAGGCTCTAGAGAAAGAAGTCAGCAAGCGATATAGATAAGTACTAGGTACTAAGCTCTCTTGTCTTGGATTTTCAATTTCTATCTTCTTTTGGCACTAATTTGCTTCCACTTGGCAAACCTCTTGCACCCACAACACTGCAACTAAAAAAAGGTCTCAGTAAATTGGAAGGCGGTCAGGAGCATGACGGTACATAAGCATACCAGACAGGGAAAGTTTGTTTCAGCCTGTCTTTGATCGAACAGCTCCGTGGAGCCGTCATGGACGGTAATCGGCACTGATAAGAAAATCCTCCTCATGACTTCATGGCTTGATAGACTGGACTGTAACAGTAGTTACCTAAGTATAGATTCCTGACCACAATCGGCATGATGATCATTTATCTGCTCCGTCAGGTGGCTGTCACTTCCATACCTTCTTCATCTTACTTGTTACATATAATTACATATGGATGTACAGTATGTGCGTACTCGTAGATTCGACACATACTCGGTACCAGTATGCATTCATATTGAAAATGAACAAGGGTCAATAGAAAGAAGCAGGTTCTAGTCCCGATCTGGGCTAGCCGGGTACTGCGGGCGTGCGCTTGGGGCGATCAATCAACTTGCATGATAATCACCGCCCATGACAACATGCTCTTTTGCTGTTCTGAGCTGCTTGCGACATCGATCGGCCTGTGTATTTGTGGTTTGCAGCTGGTTTTCTTCCAGTTCTTCTACCAATAACCTTCATATCTCATCGCTCTCTCCCCACCCCCTAAGAAAAACCCTCCGGTCAGCGGCGAATTTCTCTTCCAACCAAATGTGCTAATCTACCTGCAACATGGAGAGAGGAATGGGGCTCCCACCATCCCCTGTTGGAGCACCCGCCAGCATGGACCACTTCCCCAAGTTCCTGGGACTGGCTGCCTCACTTGCAACGGCCTGCTGGTTAGGTGGAGAGCAGATGCTAGTTGCCCGGTCTACAAGGCACAGTGCCTTAGCGATACCTTAGGGGTGAACTCTCAGGAGCTTCTCCCCAGCAACAAGAGCCAATCCCAGGACTCGCACTGTACAACGCACTACCGGCATGATGCACCGGAACTACGGATTCTGCTGCAAAGGCGGCTGGCTAGGGCCTCTGGACAACCTAGACTCTTCGATGATACTCTGGATGGGAGCGTGGATAGCTAGCTACCCATGATTTTAATCAGGGCTAGTAGTTATATATGGACCAGACCCCCGACCAGGATTAAGTACCAGCGACCGAGCCCGAAGGTCGAGAGCTCGCTCGGTCGACATACGACCACCGACTTGGTCCAGTTTGTTTGGGGCCAGTTGGTGATGCAGCTGTATGCATGAAATGTGAAGCTGGCTGACTCCGTGCTTCGGTCGTACCTTTGTCCTGTTTCCTTTTCGCTAATGATGGCTAGTCAAGCACCCTTGGCCTTTTGGTCGCTTCCACCACACAAATCCACCTTTTCGTGCTGAGCTGATCACAGCTGCATTGCGCACGTAGCATACCTCTGCAGGTGTTGGAAGTCTGATAAAGTGCGTAAGTAAAATTGAAGTAGGTACTCATGAACCCTCGACTGACAAGATAACAAGCCCCTTTGGAGTAGTTTTAATCGTGTGAACCTGTATAATGTAATCCACTGGTTGATAATGGATGGAGGCTTAGTCCGATGATTCTAGGCGTCTCTGCTAATTCTGCAACCCCCAATCTATGAGTCGGACACCACCTTCATCACCTCTTGAGCAGAATCAACATTCTTTCAGATGGTAGATTATGACCCTAGAGCATTGTGCCATGGAGTACTCCGTACGGAGGAAGTTATTACGTGCGTATGTGTTTCAATCGGGGCTTGACCATCATCAGCCACAATCGGGTGATTCTTTGTCTTCAGCCTCATTTATGGTCTGCAGCGTTGACTACCTTCCAACCGACCCAACTTGGTAACTATTTAACACAACCTTGAACTTCCCAGCGTACCTCTACCGACCACACAGCCGCAATACATGTTTGTCCTCGGATGTGAGACTGTCCTTGATATTCCTGGAGTCAACCTAAAGTCACTCATCTTCAAAACGACAGACCAAGGCGAGGCAAGGCAAGGCAATGCCGAACGGGGCCCACCATCGGTGACCTCTCCGATGAGGAGCGAGATGGAAAGAGCTTCCCCAATAGTTCAAGATATATGGCGTCATATCCTGAAGCTATGCAAAACTAGCGATCGGGACGAGATTTACTGCCCCTGTTGATCAGATGCGCTTACTCCATACTATACCACTATAAGTCACTATACGGTGGACATGCTCTTTCTCAAGCCGGATACCCCGCGATGCGGGGAGCATATATCCCGAGGTAAATCATCTGAGCTGAGCACGGAACCTCTTAGAAGCTAGAGAGCCCTGGAGAGCCCTAACGGAAAGAAGAGCCAGCACTGAGAAGGAAAAAAAGGAGAAGGAGAAAGAGAGGTTCGTCGTCGGCCTCTCGTCCGGGGGCATGGAGGGGAGTACAATCCCCGATTGGCCACCGCCCGGACGGTCTTATCCACGGGTCGAAAGCCATCAATCAATGATCCATGATTATTACTGCTATTAACTACCACCTGCACTCCAGTCAGATTCAATCCCCCTCTTCTCGCTCCCACTTTTCGAACCTCCCCTCCCATCCGTCGCCTTATACCACTTGCAACTCCCCTTCCCGTATCCTCAACACGGTCGCGTACCAGTCTCAAAGTCGAATCGACGTGTCGTCCCTTTTTCCTCCGCCCGCCCCCCACCTCCACCGGTCGAGTTCTGGACTTATCGTGTACTGCTAGCTTTATCCATCGCCACCACAACTTCTCTCACTCGCGACACGCTCGCTTCCGCCTGGCCTTTAATCCGCACCCGCTCACTCTCTTCGACTTTTCCCGTCTATCGCGCTTGTCACCGTCGATCAAACCGCTTAGAGAACAATTCGGCCAAGAGTTGACCGCGGTCGACTTCTCCTTCTGTCCCGTTAGAATACTCTTGTCACCCGCAGTCTTTCTGCCAGTGCGCCCGCCAACCCTCCGCGGTCACGGCGACGTTCTGGTCCTGCGTTGATAAGAGTTTCTGACACACAAATTCTGGGCACATGAGTAGCAAGCTTTGGGGTTTCTTTCTCTACGATGATGTCGAGAGCTTCCAGCGCTTCCTGGCAACTGCCACTGGAACGGCAGGGAATGGAGGCAGCTTGAAGGCTGGGAGCCCTGGGTTAGGACTGACATCTTCGCCGGGGGTTCCAACCAGAAGCAAGAAGCTGAGTGGGACTTCTCCCGGGACTCCGATTCCCGAGCGTGGGGTCAATTTACGCACTGGTAAGACCCTGTCCAGGGAAGAACTGAACGTCCGGGACAAATACGGGCGCACACTTCTACACCTTGTGGCATCATCGACAAAACCCACAGCGATAGACTTTGCCGTTGCCTTGCTCCAGGTTCCTTTCCTGGACATCTATGCGCAAGACTGGGAGAGCGGCTGGACGGCCTTGCATCGAGCCCTCTATGCGGGAAACGCTACAATCGCACAGGCCCTGATGGTCCGGGACATGCGCGACGCCACGGACTTCAGCAAAGCGGGCAACTCCGGGCTCCCGGTTGGAAGTTTGATTCGAATTAAGGATCGAGAGGGATACAGCCCGTTTGATGTGTACGCAGCCACGATAGCGGCGCGAGACATTAAACGAAGCTCTGATTCTCTCACATCCGGAAAATCGTTTGCGGAGGTTGAGCATAACGATCTCACCTCTGAGCTTTCATCGGAGGAAGATGATCCTGACTACGACAGCCGCTTTAGCAGGGGTGTCTTGAAGCCAAGCACCAATCTAAACGGCGACGAGGTCTTTACATTCGGCAGTAACAAGAACCTGAATCTTGGTGTTGGAGATCAGGATGATCGTCAGTTTCCAGAGCGTATTACCCTCAAGAGACCAGGGCATCTTCTGGAACGACTTTTCCGTGAATTTCAGGAACAGCGATCGGAGGCTGGCAAGGCCGATGCTCAACAGGACTCAGACAATGCAAGTGCCAATGATCTTCCTGCAATTGTGAAAAACAAACATATCAAGATCCAAGATGTTGTTATGTCTAAGCTTCATACGGCTATCCTTACCACCGATCCCGAGTCGAACCTTTTCTTGTGTGGCTTTGGCCCCGGTGGACGACTAGGCACTGGGGACGAAACCACACGTTTCACTTTCGTTTGCATCGAGGGCGGAGGCCTTGCCAATAAGAAGGTGGTCTCCGTGGCCCTAGGCCAGGACCACACTCTTGCAATCACCGAGAATGGGGAAATCTTCAGCTGGGGAAGCAACAAGTACGGTCAGTTGGGGTACAGCTTGCCAAGGTCCAACAATCAGGACGATGTGCCCCTGCAAAAGCAACCCCGACAAATTTTCAATCCTTTCAAGAAGGAGCTAATCATCGGGGCGGCTGCATCAGCAGTTCACTCCGTTGTCTTCAGCAATTCTGGTCTTTATACTTTCGGCAAGAACGAAGGACAACTCGGACTGATTGACTCCGATGCTCGATCGCTTGAAATGCAGATGATTCCTCGACGCGTAGGAGCATCTTTGTTCAGTGCTCCCATTCAGAGTGTATCCGCGATCGACCAGGCAACATCGGTTCTTCTTCAGAACCATGAAGTATGGGTGTTTTCCCAGTATGGTTACTCGAAACTATCTTTCCCGCTAGATGTCAGTTCCAGGTTTATCAAAGATAGTTTCATGGCCACGAGATATGGCTCCTCTGTTAACCAAGTGGTCAAAGTCAAATCCGCTGGCAATACCATCTGCGCTCTGTCAAGTTTTGGAGAGGTATACACAGTGCAAGTCAATAAGACAGAGGTCCCCTCAACGTCAACATCGACGACAAATCCATTCAAACCTCGGAACTCCATGTCGGCACCGACTAGGATCTGGTCTGTGAAAAGATCTCATATGGCAGCAAGGGATTTTGACGTTGGGCAGGATGGGTCGGTCATTATTTGTACCGTATCCGGTTCTGCTTGGAGCAAAGAGAAGCGCAGGAAGTCAAAAGACTCGGCCAAGGACTACAAATTTGCTAGGATACCTGGGTTGTCTCGAGTGATCGGAGTTTCCAGCAATGCTTATGGGGCCTTTGCAGCCGTACAGCGCGACTGTGAGGTAACTCAGGAGCAGATTGTTGTTTCTCAGCCGACCTTATGGGCGGACTACCTCCCCTTGTCTCCTTTCAGCTCATTTAGAGACACAGTCAGCTCGGTGGATGTGGTCGGAGGCGATAGCCAAGACTCAAACCCAGCCTTCCTTATCAAGAAAGCGATATTGGAAGCCTCGGAAATCGAGCCTTACTTCGAATCTTCGCAAACCCACGCATTTCCCGGAGTCATCTGGATCAAGACAACATCTTCGGACATACGACTTCCTGTTCACGAATTCATCTTGACTGGACGGAGTTCAGTCCTTCGTGAGATCCTTCATAGCTTCCGGCATACAGATCGTCCTTCTTCACTTGATATCTTATCGATTGAGCGTGACAATGAGGGCCATATGCAACTTACCTTTCAATCCTTGGACATCTTCACCATTCTGAATTTAGCTTTGTTTTTGTACACAGATGAGATATTGAATGTCTGGCACCAGGCTAGACAGTCATCAGAGAAGTCTTTACAATATCGCCAGGTCCGGAGCGAAGTGATGCGTGTCGCCACTCATCTCAATCTACCAACTCTGGAACGAGCTTCCAGGCTGATGATCGAACCGACAAAGGCTCTGCGGCATGACATGGAGCGCGCGATTCGTGATCCTGCTTTCTTCGACAGTGGAGATGTGATCATCGACTTGAAAGGGGGTGAGGTCCAGGCTCATAGCCATGTCCTGTGTCAGAGGTGCCCCTTCTTCAGTGCATTATTCTTCGGTCGCTCAGGTGGTAGATGGCTCTCATCGCGCCGTGCTCATACAGACGCCATTATTCATGTTGACCTCAAGCATATTGACCAATATGTGTTCGACTTTGTACTTCGGTACCTATATGCCGACACCGAGGAGGAGCTTTTCGACGATGTCAAGTCAAAGGATTTGGACGAGTTCATTGATCTGATAATCGATGTTGCATTTGTAGCGAATGAGCTGATGATTGACCGATTGGCTCAGATCTGTCAACAAATGCTTGGGAAGTTCGGTAAGCTTCATGATCGGTTGCGCCGCTCGGAGTGAGGTACTGATGTATGATAAATAGTGCATACCCGCAATGTCTGCCACTTGCTTAATGTGGTCACGCCATGCTCCGTGAAAGAGTTTAGGGATGCGGCTCTAGAATATATCTGCCTCAATCTCGAGGATCTACTGGCAAACAGGTAAGCTTTATCTTCGCACATGCCATGGATACAACAGGCAGGAATGCTTACAATCGGTAGGTTATTGGCAGATCTCGATGAGTCCTTGCTCGAAACCCTTGATTCTGTCTGTCGTGATAATCAGTTGACCAGTTTACCTGTGTCAAGAGGACGCAATTCCGAGGATTCTATTTTCGAGAGATATCCGGAGCTTGCGACTGCCATAGAAGGTGACAGGAGGCGGAAGATCGATTTCATGAGGCTGAGACCGCACCTGAATCGTATTGACAGCTCTGAAGGAAAGCCTCGTGCAACAAGCAACGAGAAGGCTCCATCCCCTTCGGTTTCAAAGGTCAAACCGGGCCCAGCCCAGGATGGAGCGCAGTCCGCCTCTCGCAGTCCGCTACTCAAGTCCAGACAGTCGACTACCGATTTGATGTTCCAGATGGACGACGAGTTTTCGCTGTCCCTCACCGACCCTGGGAAAGGCAAGATAGCAATTCGTGATGTTAAACAAGTCGCCGCAGCGGATACACCGCTATCCATCGACTCACCAGCTCTCCGAGCTAGTCCATATGATGGGGGCTCCCTGGATGCCAGCTATTTAGATGCCCATATGGCCTCGCCGTTGGATCCAGCTCTCTCAGAATCACCCTCCGCATCCCGCGCCGCAGCACGCCATAGGAAACAAGATTTATTCTCTTCACCTCCAAGCTCGAGCACCCAGACCCCATGGAGCGCATCGGCAATTTCCACGTCAAAGAAGAATCTCAAGGATATTATGAATGAAACCTCAGGCAACCGGATCTCAAATCTCAGCCTAGGCATGTCTGCTCGTCGAGAGAGTACCAGTAACCCTGCGCCGAAGATGTCGCAGAAGGAGCGCAGGAAGATTCAGCAGCAGCAGATGCAGGAGATGCTTGCTGCTCAGCAAAAGGCAAAAGAGGCGCCTGAAAATCCGTGGAAAATGTCCACCCCAGGCAAACCTGCTCCTATAGCGAGTGGACTAGGTAGTCCTGCTGCAGAGTCTGCGAAGGCTTCTCCCAAACCCTCCATGACCCTCCGCCAAACTGTCGCCGGGACGCTCTCGGCAGCTCGCACGAAACCCAGCTCTATCCCCGCGCAGACCCCAGGCCGTGGGGGACCCGCCAATGTTCAACATACGCCCTCGCGGCCTCAACCTTCGAAATCCATCACCCCAACTCCAGCCTCCTCCAACCCCCTCGCCACTCCCCAACCGGCTATCCAGTCTATTCGCCACATCCCGCGCCCCGAACCATACCAGACGAGTTTTCACTCTCCTTCCTCCAGCTCCCTCTCCCTCGCCACGATCCTCATGCAACAACAAACCGAAAAGGACGAGATCCGCGAAGCAGCGACCGCAAAACACAATCTCGAAGACATCCAACTCGAGCAAGAGTTCCAAGCGTGGTGGGATAAAGAGAGTCGACGCATCCAGGGCCTCCCGGACCCCGACACGACGGCCCCGTCCGCCGCCGACAAAGAAGAGAAGGGGACCTCGCGGTCAAATCGGGGCCGAGGCAAAGGCAAAGGAAAAGGACAGGGCAAAGACCTAGGTCAGCAGCCACCGCTACAGCAGCAGCAGCAACAGCAGCAACAGCTCCCGCACCGCAAAAAGCGCGGAAAAGGCCTTGCTGGTTCGGCAGACGCATCGACTTCGTCCGCACAACCCCAACCTCTCCGTAACGAATCTACCACCATGATCACTCCATCCGCACAGAACGGCCATCATCCTCATCTGACACCTCGTCGTGACGCTCAACCTCGAACCATTCCGAACGGGAATCATCTCGATGGACGAGGAGCCGCGGCCGGCGGATCCAGTGGAAGCGGTGGTTCACGACGCGGAGGTGGAGGTGGTGGCGGAGGTAGAGGTGGTGGTAGCGGTGACAGCTCTCGTGGACGCGGCAAACCTCGGGAAAAGACCTCCGCTTGAAATGGAATCTCACACACTCACACATCTAAATACATACACATATACAAACAACATCCACCTGTACCACCTCCCGGCGGTGTGTGTGCGTCAATAACGTTTACACCCCCTCATGTTGCTATGAGCTTTCTGCATAGAATTTTTTTTTACCTTTCGGTTCAGGGAAGGAAACTCTTTCTCCCACAATGACATAACAATAGACACACTACTTGCACCACACAAGATATGATATACATCTCCTCTCTATATATCTCCTTTTTCTAATCGACCCAGTGGATTATGTATTGCGTAACTTGTATGAAAGTGAAACACCGCCTTATCTAGATAATGAATAAAACGGATTCTTTAGAACTACATTCCGCTCGAACCCATTCGAACCGAAGAATGACGAGGAAACTATGACAGTATGATATACTCTCTATAGCTATCGCAACAACTCGGCATTAGTGGTGGAACCAGAACACAGGTCCAAGAAGGAGAACTTGCACAGAGAATAGCAAAACAAATATAAAAAAAAGTCACCAAGATGGACTAGTTGGGAATCAATCAACAGGGAGCGATGCAGATACTGAAAATGACTATACTTCAATGAAGGCGGGCATTCGTCGTAATCAATATGACCAAAGTACTAGCGGCAAGAATTAATTCAAAACAATAGATCATCGCTATAGAATTAGTTAATAGGTTGAAGAAGTGGGAAAGACTTCGAGGGAACTAGGCTAATGATGAAATAACTCGGTAATCTCAGAATGGACCCAGAAGCATGCGAATCCACAGGCGAAATATAATATGGAAGCTGTTCGAAACGCTAACAGAAGAGGAACGGTAACCCCCCGCTAGCACCTTGTACACGAGGGATAATATCGAATGGGGGAAATATGGTAGAAGAAAGGTAATGAAAGAAGCATAATTGTACAGAGAAGGGTTCGTTCCGCTCGTCCCTTACTAGCCAGCTGTCGCTACTTCCCGACTTTCCCAGATGCGACGCATCATGAGCTCGGTTTCGTCAGAGTGTTGTAATGTTTCCGAGCCCGGCACTCTTTCCGAGGTGGCAGGGTCGGGGTGGGCGGCTTCATCGGATGTAGAGAGAATGCGGTGAGAGGGATGTTGGGATTTGCTGCCGGAGGGGGGCGGGTCGGTGGGCTCATTCACGAGGTCGTCGGGTTCTGGAAGGTAAGTCTGAGAGACGGATGTATGCATGTCCGCATGCTTTCGTCCAATTAATTGTCTGGGTTCGGGGCTGGCGCTGCCTTGGTTGTCGTCTTGTTGTTTGCTGTCGCGGAGGTGAGTCAAAGCTGGCGCAGATTTGATGGGTTTGCCAAGCGACGAATATCGGTCTAGGCTTGAAGTCGCGCCTCGTGAATCATTCAGGATGGCGTTTAAGCGCCTAAAGCTGTCGCCGGTGGGAGACTGGAATCGGCGGACAACGGTCAGCTCCAGGGTAGTTTTCTCGTATGCTTTCCGAACGTGCTTGGTTTCATTGTCATGTACTGTTCCACTGGCTCGAGCGGATCCGTTGACAAGGCCCCTGCCCGGCTCGAAAGCCCCAGCGCCCGGTCGGGTGTGAGGAGCAGCAAAGATCGGGTCCACGACAGAGGGAGGGGCTGCGGTGGACACGCCGTCGGGCGGTGATGTGTTCAATGCTGCAGTTCGCTGTAACCACAGCTTTTGCTGTGTGCGAGAATGAGGTTCTGCGCCAGCGGGCCTTGAAGGTGGCGACGCTCGTGGCTTTTTCGTACTAGTTGCGCGATTTGGCGATGGTGGAGTTTGGGGATGATAGTGTGGGAGGAAAGAGGATGGAGTGTTCGGATCCGAATCTATGCGGGAGAATGAGTTCGTCGTTGGTTTGTTATTGATGAGGAATTTGGAGACGCCGCCTTCGATGGATGAGGACGTAGCATGGGTTGGCGTGTTTGCCAACGTGGTGATAGACGAAGACATCGGTCGTCGGGAACCGTCATGGCCAGACGCTAAGTTGGTCAGGGATACATTGCGAGAAGACTGATCCATCACGGTCGGCTTGACGGTCGCAGAAATAGACGACATGGCCGGTGGTGCTTTGGCAGAAATAGACGGACCCAGAATCCGCGATGCGATGACGCCGTTCTCACTAGGGCGGGTAGTCTCGACGGGTGTCTCGTCAGAATCGGACGGACGTTGCTGTGCGGTTTCTTCGTGGTCGTGGTCGTGGTCGTGGTGGTCCTCGTCGTCGTGATCTTCTTCGTCGGAATAGTTGTCGTCACCGAAACTCTTGCTCGTCGACTCTGGCAGGCTGGTGGCTCGAGGAAATTGCGGGTAAGAGCGCTTGACGAAGGTAAGGGGGTCGACCAGAACAGCAGGATTCTCCACACTCTCTTTAGATTGTGCCACCGAGCTGCGTCTCGTGCTTTCAGGCGACTGCGTAGTATCTTCCCAATCAGCTTCGTCGTCGGAATCCGCCAACTCGAATCCCACGGTTTTCTTCTTTCCGGAGCTCGTATGTGGACGGTCGGTGACCAGCGCTTTCTTTCCGAGGACGACTGACGTATTGCGTCTAAGGGCCGGACTCGAATTGTTCTTCTTCATTGATCCTGTTGTGAGGTGTGAATGTTCCGCAACTCCATCCCAACGAACGTGATGCCCCCGCGGGCTAGCGGCAGGTGTCGCAGGGGCGGATTTCTTGCGCTGATGCACGCGGACGGTAGCTTCGGGGCCTATTTGTTGGCTGGAGAGGTGTCTTTGTAGCTTGTGCAGATTTTTGCCGAAAGAGGGGTTGCGGTGATGGTTGCGATGGCCCCCGCCGACTAGATGGGGACGATGGGGCCTTGAGGGGGCTTTCTGGGTGGTGTTGGAGGACTGGGACTGAGACAGCTCGCCCTGGTTGGAAGGGGTGCGCGTGACAACGGCGTGAGAGGAAACCGCACGACGGCCCAGTCCGGGGCGCTTGACGGGGGAAGAAGTATTGGAAGTCGGCATGGCGGCCGTGGCAGAAGAGGAGAAAGTACGTAGTTGGTACTTGTGGTAAAAAACAAAAACAAAAAAAAAAAGAAAGAGGCGTTTAAGGCTTAAGCAAGGAAGGGCTGGCCCCGATCGGGTGACGAGCAGCAGCCGGGAAGTTTCCCCGATTCAACGGCGATTGGAGGAGGCATCCACCAAGTGATACAGCAGATTGTATGTATCCGACGGGGCGGGTCAGTGAGCAGCAGAAGTAGTGTTGCTTTTAGTCTCTTGGTCTGTGGTGAAGAAGTACTGGAGGGTTAAATGGGAGAATGAGAGAAGAAGGGGGGAGACAAATCGGTGACGGTCCAGATTCCCGCCGATTGCGGGGGAGACACAAATGACGCAGAGTCCGGTTACACCACTCGCACCAGGGAGTTGAGCTGGTTGGCTATGACAGAAAGAGAAAATGAAGAATTAGACAAAGAGGGGAAGAACAAAATGGTAGAGCAAAAGTGACTTTAGGAGGAATGGGGATGGAGGCAAGAGTTGCAATTAGATACGAGGGAGGTGACGTTTGGTGAGGGGAGAGGGAGAGGGAGGGAGAATCAGCGGGAGGGGAGAAAGAAAGAAGAAGACGTGGAAGAAATGAAGAAGGATTCCCGAAGCAAGAAGAAGAACCAGCAGAATGGAACTAACGAAGGAAGGAGAAGGAAGGAAGGAAAAAATAAAAAGTCCAGACCAGCAAACCAGGCCGGATTAGGTTGGCCTCGCCCTGTGGAATTGAAAAGCACGAAAGCATCGCCACTCCTGTATTATTACTTTACTCATTCTCCTACAATCATTCATCCTGGTCGTCAAATGGGAAAAATAGGTAGAACATCGTCAACTCAACTTCGGGGCCTGCAAAAGTAACCAATCCATCTGGTATCATTGTGCCAAAAGCCTACATGAAACATAAAGAATAAAACACCAATCGAGGAATCGTCCCCTCCTCAAAAACCACAACTTGACCGCTCCTCACCGCACTGACCACTCACCCTATTCACCCAGTCCACTCTACAACTCAATCAAACTCTCCTCGACGGGCGGCTGGGACGGGGTTGTTTGTTGATATGATGGATGCGCACCAGGCACACTACCAGAAGGATATTCCCCTCCCTGTGGGTTGGGATGTGTTGGGATCCCCTGTGGATATCCTGCGAAAGTTGTAGGGCCGGGAGAAGGCTGTTGTTGTTGACTATAGAATGACGATCCCGACGGGTCCGCGGGCTGCGGCGGCTGCTGATGATGCTGCTGCTGCTGCTGCGCTGACGGTTGACCGCCAGGTTGCATTGAATTAGGATCCGGAGGATAGTGCGAGTAAGCGGGGGCCGACACTGGGTCTGCCGGGGGTGATTGATCCGGGGCGCTCGGAACGCTCGGGGCCGATGGTTGATAGTGAGAGTCATGTCGCATCACAGGCGACGGTTGATAAGGCGCCTCCGGCTCCCCATGCCGCGGTTGCTGGTATGGACTCGGGTCTTGTTCCGGGTGCGGTGGAGGTGCATAAAATTGCGTGGGTGGCGCATAGGCCGAAGGATTGCTGGGGGGTGCCGCATTGGCGCCGCCTATGTGAGGTGATGCCACCGCATGAGGGTTTCCAGTCCACGGCGCGTTGGGTGGCATAGTTTGAGAGGGCTGTGGGTATAAACTCGGGCTCATGGTTCTGGCGCGTTCTCTCTCTGACGGAGGCTGCGAGTAGGGCGTGCCGGAAGACTGGAAACTTTCCGTGACGTTGGGATTTCCATAATAATAGTTCTCGGTGCCTGACTTCGCCTCCATTGCGGGAGCGGGCATCGTGGGGTAGATATTGGGATATGGGGATCCGCTAGGGACCCCTCCATAACCCAAGTTATGCTGAGCGTAGGCGCTAGAGAGACGTTCCTCTAGCATGCGGTCATAGTAGCGAACGACCGTCGATAGCTTGGCATGGAGGTCCAACAAAGTATCTACGCCCACGCCTCATTAGCTGCCGCGACAAATCCTCCAAAACATTATGCACAACATACGTACCGTGCTTGCTCATCGTTTCTCCATAGCTTCTAGCCAACTTAGGCCGGAGCGCTCCAATGCTCTCATATAGTTCCTGAATCTGAGGTTCCCGTAGAATAGTGCCCGGGGGCTGATGTTGCAGTCGGTCAACGAGAGCTGCGAAGAGATGGATGTTTTCGACTTCTACAAGGCTAAGCTCATAGGGATTTTTGGGAATCGGCGCCACCCCTGCGCCCGCAAGAGTCGACGTATCAGCCACCGGGGCGTTCTTGAGGGCGGCTGCGTGCTTCTGCTTGTGTTGTTCCATATCCCGCAATGATGCCTCGATGGCGGCCTTCAGGTCGGCATCTTCCTCTTCCTCTACACTGGGCTGACTGACGGCTTTGGGGGGTTCCGGGACCATCTTGTTCTGTGGAACGTAACCGCTTGAGCCCCTATTTTGAGCCTCCTCTAAGCTCATTTGCAAAGCACGACGCAAATCGTCATCGAAACCGCTCTCCGCTCGTCCCCCACGAGGCTCCATGACGCTAGACTTGGTGATTGAATTGTTCTTGAATGCAGACCTATCGGAAAGGGCCGCAGATGAAAATGCCTTCGAAGTCAATTTGGCGTAGCACCCGTCGTCCACCCGAACAGGCTGAAGGATTCCGAGATGAGGCAGAGGAAGCGTCTTGCTGGAGCACTGTGCATCAAAGACATTGCCGCAGTTGCGACAATGATGCTTGCGGTTCATGAAGCTGAAGGCAGTGCGACAACGCATACAGACATCGGAGTCAATCCATTCGGGAGGCTTTGGCAGGAACACTTATGTCAGTTCGAGGGCGCCGTAGCGATCACAGTACCAAGGTTAACTCACCGCACTGCTTTCCAGCATGCTTCCACTGATTTGGGTCTTGGGTGGAAACCGGAAGCCTTCATCCTGAAGCCTCCGATAAGTTTCACCAACATAGCTCAGATCCATACGGCCTTGAGCTGCCATGGCCCAGTCTTGTATCAATTCTAACATCTTCGCTTTCACTTCGTCATTCAGTGGGAGGCCCTCGGTCTTGAGGAGGGAGACAAGGTTGTCCATAAACTCCCGGGATGCAATTTCCGCCAAAAAGTGAGTACCGCCATTTTTCACACATGTGTCTGTCAGCTGCGATGCATTTCACTGTCAGCTCTAAGCTAGACCCAGGGCAGAGTGTGAGGAGGGTCGACGTCTTGCGACTCACTTTCAAGGTCGCTAGTTGGATGTTCGGATTCTTATTCTCAAGTCGCCTCTTCAAAGATCTCATCGCCTCCTTCGGTTGAACGCTCTTTGATCTTATCAGGTCGGAAATTTCGAGGTTGAGAGCGATGTCTTCCCTATTGGCGTGTCAGTGAGTCGTAGCATGTGATTGACCGCAATCCATGGCAGCATGCTGAGGGAACAGCCATAACTTACAAAGAAGAGGCAGTCGCCTTCTCGACTTGATCATCGAGCGAAGACGTTGACGAAAACCACCCCGCCATGTTGTGATGGTGCGCGATTGACGATCTGCCGGGGACGGCGACGGAGGTACCAGATGGCTATGACGTTGGGCAGCAGCTGAAGCAGCAGCAGGAGAAGGAGGTGGAGACTGAAACTTGGTGAATAATCGGAAGGGCTTTTTCGCGCAGAATGAGAAGAGACCGATAAGAAAGGGCGATCAAGGCAGCAATAGAGACATAACACTGAGCTCCAGGCAGATCAAATGCATGGAGGGATAATGTCGGGGGAGTGTAAGTAAGGTAAGTGGGAGGTAACCAAGCTTACCCTTAGTCTAGTACTGCTAGGTACGGAGTCCATAAGTTACCTTCCATGGGACAAGCATGTTGGCAGTCCTTAGTTAGTTACTGGCGGGGGCGGTGAGTCAGCGGGGGGTCAGGCCCCAGGCAAACAATAATAGTAAGTACCCGTAACATGTGGCGTCATAGCCTAATTAGGGCGGTGAGGCGGCGAAGTGGGCATTATTCCTGCGAATCCATTACCATACTGTACATACACCCACCCCATCATACAACATCCCGCAATTCGTCTGCCTTTGACCACCTCGTTCCTCTCCTCTTTTCTCCTCCTGTCTATTCGTTCTTCCTCCCGCCATTCTCCGTCGGACTTCGTCTTTGGCGCATCTTTCTCTTCTTCTCCCGTCTTTCAACAATCCTCTCTGTCCTTTCATTCTTCGTGCGTTTGGATACCCCGTCGAGTCGTGGGATACCCCTCCGATCTGCTCCCGCTCCGAGCCACCTTCGAACAACTACCGATCCATCCCCGCCTTAGCTCCGACAACTTTCAGGTCATGTACTGAAGCTCCCTTTCTCTCAATCGCCGTCTTGTATCATGTCCTCAGATGCAGCGGCTTTCCCCTCTCCACCGGATTTCGCCCCGTGGGATAATGCCAGGCGTCCTCGATCCCTCGGAGTCATGCCGACAAGCGGGCGGCCATTCGGACTGGCATCGCAGCAAGTCGGCAACAATCAGAGCGCCCCGGCAAGCCAACCGCCGTTGTTTCCCAACATAAAGGATCTACAGGATGAAGCGGCAGCTTTGGATGTCAATGAGAATGCCTCGGTATGTTTGAGATTTGGGTGTAGCGCCTGCCACAGTGGTATCGCAGTTTATACTGATTGAGACCTTTAGCTTAGTGTTTTGCTTGAGCGAGCGCAAGTGGCCATAAACCAAGCCCGGGAGCTTTCCGACAGCGATCAACTAGATCGAGCCTATGTGCAGTACCTTCGTGCCTCCGAGATAACCATCAACATTATTCCCCACCACCCTGACTATCGTGCGACAGCCAGTCAGAGACCGGCATGGTTCAAGAGATTTGCCGATTTGATGATGGTAGGTCGTCGCAAATTCACGCGAGAAGCCTTCTTTAAGCTTCTGGACTATTAGATCGGGGACTAATCAATTGTGGTAGGCGGTGCGGACGAAACAAGGGACGATGGATGATATCAAACAACAGATCGTGGAGAACAATCTAATGACAAAAGTGCAACCGGTTGGACCACCGTATTCACACTCAAGCCGGCCAAAGTCAGAAATTCTGAGTAGTGCTGCCTCTTCCATGAGCAATTCGACGCAGATGCCGATCTTGTCACACCATCAACAAGATTTTGAGCTACAGACAAAGCAGAATCGATACTCCAGTCCTCCATCTGATGCACTCGCACAAAGATTCGCAAAGCTAAGGATGTCACCCCCTGACAGCACTCTCTTAGAGCCCACACAAAATGGGACGAGCAATATGTTACAGTCCGCGCCGCAAGTTAATCCGTCGCAAACTTCGGCTCAAGCGTCGCCGCAAGGCTCCGTTTTGAGCTCTCCGACACGACGTCCCTTAGGGCCTCGTAGCATGGGATCCCCCCATGCGGTTCCTGCTCTTCCCCCAAAGGTTCCTCTCAACACATCTCTTCCACGGGCACCCGACCCAGCCTATAGTCCGATTTGGACAGTGCCATCACAGGGACCCTCAAACCCGCCGCGGACCTCGACGGAAAGCTCTCGCCCAGTCAACCCACGGTATTCTCAGCTCGCAAACTCACATGGGAGCCCGAGCCGGAATGGGTTTGATGATAATCCGTACCGATCCAGAACCCCAAATGGTGTTCATCAAGTGCAGGAGATCCGAAGCAGCAGTGCTGACCTCCCACACAATACTACGATCAATCCGACAGAGTTACTAGATTACCTTCGCAAATACAACATTCTGCTGATCGATGTGCGGCCCCGGGAGCAGTATGATAATGGGCATATATATGCCTCTTCAATCATATGTGTTGAGCCGGTGGTGTTAAAGGAGAACGTATCAGCTGAAGAGTTGGAGGAGCGTCTTGTGGTGTCGCCGGAGTATGAGCAGTCATTATTCGAACGCCGGAATGAATTTGACATGGTTGTGTACTATGACCAGAAAACATCATCGGTTAGTTATCTTGCTGGCTCTCCCGTTGGCACGACAGCGCCTCATCTCCGAGCGCTCTACGATACGCTTTACGAGTTCAACGCCTACAAACCCTTGAAGGACGGTCGACCACCAGCATTACTTCTAGGCGGCCTCGACGCATGGATTGATCTCCTAGGCCAACAATCACTTGCCACATCCTCCACCGCTGCTGTGATGGGATCCTTGCAGCCAAAGCGACCACTGCGAAGGCCCGGGCGACCGCTTGGAAGAGTGCCTACGATGGTCAGCGCTAACTCTAGCTTAGAGGTCAGGAAACGACGACTGCGCGAGTACAAACCACTGAATAACCAAGAGCTCACTGAGTGGATGGAGAAGTCCAAGACAGAGGAAATTGATGCCAGTACATATGTCGAAGAAGATGAAGAAGCACTGACGGAGGAGCCTGCTGGAGAGGAGGAGGTTCCTGCATCGCCCTTTGTTCAGAATTATGAAGACTTCCTGCGGCGCTTCCCCGAACCAGGTGCGATTCAGCAGTCAATGGTGGTACCACACATACGACCGGCGGGCACTGCTGCACCGAATTACGCTGCTCCTGTGCCTGTCGCTCCCTCGCGGCCGCCTCCGGCAGTTCCACGGCCTAGCTATAGCGGCGTATCGGACGGCCGGCACATCCAACCTACTCTGGAGCGGCAGAGTTCGGCCACGAAAACGGCACTTTACACCCCCCTGTCCATGTTGAGCCGGCTCAAGCTTCCTCGCACTGGGTTGACCAATTTCGGGGTGACCTGTTACATGAATTCGACTCTCCAATGTCTCAGCGCGACCTTACTGCTGAGCAAGTTCTTCATCGATAATCGGTTTCGGTACTATGTCCAGAAGAATTGGAAAGGATCCCAGGGCGTCATGCCAGGGCTTTTTGCGAATCTGATCCGGTCGCTGTGGAAGAATGATGTTGAGGTAATCATGCCTACCTCATTTCGAAACTTCTGCGGGAGGTTGAATCAAGAGTGGGCGATCGATCGCCAGCAAGATGCCAAGGAGTTCTTCGACTTCGTTGTGGATTGCCTGCACGAGGACCTCAACATCAATTGGCAGCGCAACCAGCTCCGCCCTCTGACCTTCGAAGAAGAGATGCAGCGGGAGCGAATGCCGGTCCCCAAGGTCTCCAAAATTGAGTGGGATCGGTATTGTCATCGCGAGGAGTCCTTCATCTCCTCACTCTTCGCCGGGCAACATGCGAGTCGATTGCGCTGCACCACATGCAAACGGACGTCCACCACGTACGAAGCTTTTTATAGTATCAGCGTGGAGATTCCTCCGTCTGGAACGGGAGACATCTACCAATGCCTTCGTAGCTATTGCCAGGAGGAAATGCTGAGCGGCGACGAGGTGTGGAAATGTCCGTACTGCAAGTGTGAGCGGGTTGCGACCAAACAGATCATCATCACGCGGGCGCCTCAGATCCTGGTGATTCACTTTAAGCGATTTTCGGCGTCGAAAACGCAGAGCGCGCGGAAGATCCATACCCCGATAGATTTCCCGCTGCATGGGCTGCGGATGGACGACTTCGTGTTCTCGCAGCCGACTCCGACCCCCATTCCGAACGGTCATTCAGCAACCGCACCCTCGGAGACGACGATCGCGACCGCCCCTCCCTTCACGTATGATGCTTACGGCGTGCTGCGACATCTTGGGTCCTCGATGAGCAGCGGACATTACATCTCTCTGGTGCGAGATGCGCAGCGACAATGCTGGCGCAAGTTTGATGACGAGCGGGTGACGGATTTCAACCCGCGGGATCTGCGACCGAAGGAGCGGTTGCAGAACGAGCAAGCTTACATTGTATTCTATGAGCGAGTGCCTGCGAAATGAGGGCACAGCTGAGCATCTTCTTTTCTTTTACCTTGATCCTCCAATCCTCATTTCATTCAAGCGATTATGTTTCCAATCTGCTTGAATTTGTGTTACAGTGCCATTCCGTGAGCGGGATGGATCGACGCCAAACCACCGACTCCCGATTGGCATGATATGATTACAACTATTGCCTGCATATTTCTTTTTTTTCCCCCTTTGCTTTGCGTTGACTGGAATGTTTTCTGGCGAAGACACGACTGCATAATGACGGGATGTGAGCATGTGAGCATGTGACGAGATCTTATACCTTGTTTTAATCTTATTGCTTAACTTTGTCCCTTGTGATTTAGCCCTTTCCGAGTTTAGATCTGCTCTATAGCATGGATGCATGGATGTTGAATAGGTAGCGTTGTGTGTGCAGCGGGAATGAATGGATTCCGACTACTTATGCTCGCACTGGAATAAGCAAAAAAGACTACGGAGTACTGGTGACGAACTAGTCGACTAAATCGTTAGTTACAGGCACCCCCGGGAATGACGCAGTCAGCTCCGACGGGCTCAGAAGAATCCTACGTAGTGCGCCGGACTCTCCCACAGACCGGCGAACGGACTTTGCAAAAGCTAGGTACGAGAAGGTTCCTGTCATAGGGCACCAGCTCCGACACGCATTTCTACCAAGAGCAACTTAGTAGAAAGTATAGGGAAAGTCCGTCGCACTAAACAAACCAAACCCGTGATAGTCCGCCAAACGAGCCAACGAGAACTGGAGCACTTTGACTTGATGGATGTGATGTCTAACTCCCGTGGAAGACAATCGAACCTTCGACAACTCCTCCTCGGCACTGAAAGAAGTAGGGAATTCCGCCCTTGCTCTGAATTTCCGCTCTGGAAGGGGTTCCTTTCAGCGCGAGGGGGTGGGGGGGATTTGGGGAGTGAAAGTCCCGATGGGGCTTCCCGGGGGTGGCGGGCAACTGGCCAACGGGGCGATCTTTTCCCCGAGGTTACGGGTAACGGCTATCGAGAGCGGGGAGTCCGTCCCCTCCAGGCTCCAAGGTCGGGAATTGTTTGGTTTTCTGTCTGATACTGTACTCGGTACTAGTGCTATGTACGTATATTGTGCTTAAGTAGTTTGTATGTAGTAGTTGATCTGGGATTGGATGTATCTATGTATCTAATGATTATTTTCGTATCTACATAGTGATGCATTTGGAAAGAGAGGGTGGTGGTACAGTATATGTACTGTTTGTAGTTATCATCGTATACAATCAGACTGTCAGATAAGGTGGTGGAGATTCATCTCCGACACCGACACACTAGGCTTACTGTGAGGTCTCCGTACTATTCGCGAGGGGATCAGCAACCTTACCCAGTAATCATATTCCCGTATGCAACCCCCCTCTCCGAATCCTCAGGGTCTAATCCTCACCGACGATTGAACAAACAACGTAGCTAGCTACTAATGTGCAGTACATAGACAGACTCTGTTCGCTGCATGTTTCTTCTTATACACACACACCTTGCAGTTCCTTCCTGCAATCTACCCTTGAACGTATTTTCTTCGCCCTTTTTTTTACCTTTTTTTTTTTTTTGGTACCACAGGCAAAGTTTGCCTGATCCGGGATAGTGCGCTCTATGCTCTGACTAAGACGGGAATAAGCGTGCTGTGATTGGTGTAGACGGACCAATCCCTATCAGGCCACTTTTCAAGATTGCCCAATCGGGAAGGTGTTGGGAATGACAACGGAACTCAGCAGAGGAAGCAAAGACAACTCGGTGCTTCACAAGCAAAGATGAGATGAGATAGGAGGCTTCCATCGAAATGCAGGCCTTTGAAGCTCGGTAATAGAAGATTGGAAGCTCCCAAGGCTAACTGTGAGTCCGGGAGTGGTCCCCGGGAATGCGGTGTGGGTTTGGTTTGGTCTGGGTCAAAGGTGGCTGCCTCAGGAAGCCACAGCCAATTGATCGACTCCGACTGATGGGCCGGACTGATTGATTATTATTATTCTTCTTCTTCTTGACTATCTCGCCGTCTTTCCCTCGCTCACTCTCTCTTCCTTCTCTTCCCTTTCCTTCTCCTCTTCGTTCTCCGCTTAGTCTTCTTCTTCCCCTCTCTCTCCTTCTCCTTCGGTGCTGCTTCTGCTTCCTGTCTCTGTTCGCATTCATCTTCAGTTCTATCTGGTGAGTTCCTCTCCCTGCTACTCTCCCACTTTCCCAAGAGACACTCCCTATCTCTCACACTCCCCCTCCCACCCCGATATCCCCAAGAGCAGCGCATCCCAAAGTAATACAAGCACACGGGTGTATCTGGAGATCTGTACATCAACCAAGCGCATCGCGCGAAACATCACCTCTTCCCACGCCACCATCACCGCATCACCAATCCCCTAACCTGTCTGCCTTGCCCCCAAGTCCTCACCACCCACTTCTCACCAACCGCACCTCCAACCCTCAAACCAGACCAAACCAAACCAAACCTCACTAACCACTCCCCTCAAAAACCCCAGCCCCAAAAACCACATTCAAAATGTCCGACGTCAAGGAATTCACCCTCGCCGAAGTCACCGGCCACAACACCAAGAAGGACCTGTACATGGTCATTCACGACAAGGTCTACGACTGCTCCTCCTTCGTTGACGAGCACCCGTACGTGGCCCTCCCCACCCCTCCCCCCATATGGGAAAACACCGATTGACACTGCCCCAAAAACAGCGGAGGCGAAGAAGTCCTCCTCGACGTCGCCGGCCAAGACGGCACCGAAGCCTTCGAGGACGTCGGCCACAGCGACGAAGCCCGCGAGATCCTGGACGGTCTCTTCGTGGGGAACGTGAAGCGCATGGTTAGTTGGCCCTGCCTGACCCTACAAACTCAACCCAAAAACAAACCCCCCCCCCTCCTCAAAACCCAATGCTAACACCTCCTCAAAAAAAAGCCCGGTGACCCCGCCCCCCGCTCGCACGCCAACCCCTCCGCCGCCTCGGGCTCTTCCTCCGGCGACGCCGCCGGTCTGGGCGTCGGCCTCTACGCCTTCCTCGTCGTCGGCGGTCTGATCGCCTATGGTGCCTACCAATATCTGCAGAAGGCTTCGCTTGCGTCTGAGCAGTAGACTTTTTTTTCTGGTCTTGTGGGTTTTTTTGTGCGTATGTGTTGGGTTGTTTTATTTCCGGTTTTGTTATTGATGTGTGTGCTCAAAATCCATACCGTATCTTCTTAATTCCCATTCCTTTTTCCACGTCTACGGCTTTGAAAGAAGATCCCCCTTTTTTGTTGCGTTTTTGCCGGTCTTGCCAGATGAGTGGGTTCGAAATGTTGTGGAAGTGGGTGTATGCTCTGGTTCTGGAGAGAAGAGACTCAAGTGGCTTAGGTTCAGGGGAAGAAGCCTTGTTGATTGGGGAGTGAACGGTGGAAGGTGGAAGATATCTTTACCATGTTCCATTGGTGCCGTGTGCAATCTCAGATATAGTTTCAATTTTGGTGAACGATTACGCGAAAAGAGTGTCACTTAAAGTCAGAAGGCATTATACCCCCTTTTACTGCGCTGCAAATGATTACACCTGGAGGTAGTTGTAGAGTAGAGTAAGATGAGAGTCGATAGGGCTAGCTCATGCATAAATCATGGCACAAAGATAAAAAAAAAGACAATCCAACCGCTGCCCAAAAAGAAAAAAATGCTCATGGGATCTCTGATCGTAACAGTCTTCTTTTTATAAACACGTAACAACACAAATATAGAACTGTAAAGTTGAAAAAAAGAAGTAATGGTAATCGTGGGTGTAGAAATGTTTAATGATACTGAGGGGTCCATAAGAAGGGGAGGGAGGGAGGGAGGGAGGGAGAAGAGAAAAGCGTCCTGATTATTTCCAAAACCCTTTCCTGGGTGAAACCACGTCTTGTTCTCTTGCGCTCTGTATGTCGTCGTCAATCCATTTATCGGGAGTTGCCGCTCGTGCCAGCGCGGACTGCCTCCAGGATCATGTCCTTGGCCTCCTCCAGACCGTCCTTGCTGCCCTTGATCTCGATCGCCTCGCCCTTGGCCTGGCCCTTGGGGACGTTGATCCGGCATCCCGTTTGCTTGCGGATCGCGTTGATCTGGCTGCCGCCCTGGCCGACGACGAAACGGTACGTCTTAGGGTCGGGCAGGATCAGGTAACCGGTAGCAGACTGTTGGGAGGCGTTGGCGATGGCCTTCTCCAGAGCCGACTTGGCCTTGGCCACGTTGTCGCTGGTGCCGGCGAGCACCCACGGAATGGTAGCAGGTTCGGACAAGTCGGCGGGCGCAGGGCTGTTGTCGATCACCTTCCACGAGTGGACCTCGGCGGCATCGGTGGGCTCATCCGTGATCAGTGGCAGCGACGAGGCTCCGTTGACCTCGCCGCGAGAGTCCTCCGAGACGGGCTTAGCAGGCACCTGCTGGCCAGCGTGATCGACGGTGACACGGTAATCGTTACGAAGACGGCGGAAGAACGAGCCATTGTCGGCAATCACATGGTGCAGATGGCGGGGCACTTCAACCGTCTCACCCTGCTGATCCTTGAGCATACCGTCAATGTGCTCCTTAGCCTCGGCAACGGCTTGGCTGGGTCCCTTGAGCTTAATCTCGGTGCGGCCAGAGCCCTGCTTGGGGATGTCCAGGGTGATGTTGAACTTCGATTCAATGTTGCGGCGAGTATCACCACCGCGGCCAATCAGAAGACGGTGTTGGATAGTGGGAACATCAAGAGTCACCGTCACCTGATCCGCACGCTCCTTGACGAATTCTTCGATGGCAGCGATGATCTTGTCAACAACCTGTTCGTTTCCTTCCAGCTTGATGGTCGACTCAGTGCTGTCAGGACGGGGGAACTTGACCAGCCGAGAAGCACTGCCATCAGTGGGACCGCCAGCATCAGCAACGATCTTACGGATGTTGGCACCTGTGTACTGATTAGCAAATTGCGTCGACTAGCATTGCGGACCAAACTTACCGCCACTGCCGATGAGGGACTTGTGGTACTTCTTGTCCACGTCGATGGTCTTGGTGACGATGGAATCGAACTCGCCAGATCGTTGAAGCAATGTCTTTTTGGCCTCTTCAACCTGCTGCTTGGTACCCCGGATCTTGATCTGCACGCGGCCCGACTCATCCGGTGCATCGTTGGCGCCCGGAACATCAATCTGGGCCCCGGTATCGGCGCGGAGCTTGTCCATCTCGCGACCGCGCTGCCCGATCAGAGAGGGGATCTGGGCCTGGGCCACCGACACAGTCGCGGTGTGGGAGTGGTCGACGACCCACTGCAACAAACTCAGGATCTCATCCCGTGCCGAGTCGGCACCCTTGCTGGGGCCCTTGATGATAACTTCGTCCGCAGCCTGCTGAGACCGGTTGGGGCGAGAGCCACCAGCTTCGCTGGAAGTCTCTTGGTCGTCATTGGCAGCGCGGGGGAACTGAACACGGACAGAGTAACGGTCCTGGAGTCTGTTCACCTGGCTACCCTTCTGACCGATCAGCTCACGGTGATATTGGGCGGGAATCTTGAGAGTGTGCGTCGTCTCATCCTCCAATTTCTTTCCGAGGTTGATTATGCGGGTCTTGGCAGCATCGGCCTTCGCCTTGGGGCCCTTAACTTCAACCTTGCCGTTCTCGACCTTGATATCCACATCGAACTCGTCGCGCAGCTTGTTGATGTTCTCGCCCTTCTTGCCAATGAGGAAGTTAGCGAACTTCTGGGGGAAGTCGAAAGTCGTAGTGTAGCCTCTCTCAAGGTCATCCTTCTCCTGCTCCACAACAAACTCCTGAATCTTGGAGATCAGGTCTTCCACGAGGCGGGAAGGACCACGAAGCGCAACTTCGGCCTCGGTGCGGCTGGATCCTTCACCGACAATGGCACGGACGGGAATCTCATCCTCGCCCTTAGACTGTTGTTCGCGGGCAATGAACTTGCGGACCTTGTCTTGGTACTTGCTTGGCACGTTGATGCTCTTCGCCACGACTTCCTTCTGGTCACCAAGAGCGCTCAGGAGGTAGTCCTGAGCTTCCTGGAGGACCTTTTCAAAGGTAGCAACTTCTGCGGGGGAAGGTCTTTGTCTTGGAATCTCGAATTGGCCAGCGCTAGACGAAGGGCCCTCGTAAACCATGAACACATCCGAGCTATCAAGGTCTTCGGGCACCAGGAGGTGAACACCATAGTCGTTTTGGAGCTTAGGGATAGTGCGAGACTCCAGGTAGGGGTGATAGTAAGGATCAACGTTGACGGCACGGATTCTGGTTGGGGGGTGTGCTTGGACGAGGTTCATGATATCGGAACGCGCACGAATGGTGTTTTTGCCGTCCCGAGAGTAAACCTCCCAGGTAACCGGACCGTTAGAACTGGGCGGGAGCGCAATGCGAGCGTCATACAAATTTTCCAACTCCTTGATAATCTGGCGCTGTCTGAGGTAGCGAGTCAAGGCACGAGCATGGGCATGAGGTCCAGCAGGCGCATTGGGGTGTTGACGGGAGAGGTCAATGCTCGCCATTTGCATGCTTGTGGCGAGATCCATGGCCCTGTTAATACCATTCTCGATGCAGTCAACAGGTCCCGTGATAGTAAGGAACTCGCTATCATCGGAATCGGGAGGCAGAACAATGGCGCAGCCAGTGTCGGCAAGGAATTCATGCAAAGCATCAGCATTGTCCCCGAGGATGAATTGATGTTGACCGCGGTTGATGGCGAGTTGGCGCAGTGTCAGCTGGCGCTGCAGCTCGGCAGCAAGCCTCTCAATCTCCGCGCGAGCTTCCTGGGCCGCAGTGCGCTCACCAGAGATGTGAATGTGTCTGTCCGAAACAGGAGCGAACTGAACATGACCGGGGTCAGCCTCCTGAGGGGGAGGCTGGCTCTGCCAGGTGTCGTAACGCGGCACGTGCACCTGTGCCTTTGTGCGCTGCTCAATTTCCCGGAGCTGCGCGTTGTGAGCACCTGCAATGAAAGGGAAGAACTCGGGGGGGATAGTCTTCAGTCTCAAGCTCATGTTGGAAGCTCTCTCACGAACAATAGCCTCGATCTCACGACGAGCCATTTCCGCGGCAACGGCATCACCTTCGATCAACACGTCAATGGTATCATCGTCATCGAAATCATCGGCAGAGGCAGACTCGTCAGCACGCGGGACCTGAACACGCGCGCCTGTGCGTTGCTGAATGTCTTGAACCACAGCTCCTTGGCGACCAATGATGTGGGGGCGGGCGGATGTGGGGATGGGAACGCGAACGGATTGCTAGATGGAGATGTCAGTCATTCATGCCGTTGGTGGACAGTGTCATCGACATACCTTAGATCCGACTTGCTGTGCGACCTCCTTCAGCGCCTGTCTGACGGCATCCGCGGAACCTTTACCCTCAAATATGATGGAGCCTCCCGGTCCACCGCGCATATCAACGGTGGCCTTGGAGCGCCGAGAAATGTCGCGCAGAATGTCGCGCAGAGGCTTCTTCATCTGGCCGCGGGGAAGCATCTGGGATGGTGCGAGCCGAAGCTGCTCCATGTGCTTTCCAGGCAGACTCATGATTCTCGGGACATCAGAAGCTGATTCAAAACCTGTGTCAGCCGCGAGGATCGGAGGTTGATATGTAACTGGCCACTGGACACATACCTGCTTGTGCACCACTGGCGCCGTTAGCGACAGCAGCAGCGGAAGGACCGCGAGCACCCCAGGCCGAGACGGCAGGGGCCTTGGGCTTGGGCCCACTTCCAAGAGCAGGGAACAATTCCTCGGACTGCACGTCGAAAGCAGGGGCCTTCTTGGGGGCAGCCTTGGGGATGGACGGAGTCGCAGGCTGAGAGGAAGCATTGGACTCGGAGGCCTCAACCACCGAGGATGGGGGAGGGTGCTTGAGATCCTCCTCATCCACTACATCCTCCACGGTCACCTTGTGTGCCTCATCGCGAGCGTGCTGCTCCTCCAACATAGCGGCCCGGGACTTGGTGCCACCGTTGACATCGACTGCGACTGCTTCGGAAGCCATTGTAGCAGGATAAAGCGAAATGGGACGAATTGCACCGCAGATAGTGATTAGGCGATTGGGCCGAGAAAAGAATACAGACGGACACTAGCAGACGATGACGTTAGGATTAGGAAGAGAGGACCAATGGAGAGAGAGGTGCAGTATACCAGCTAAACGCAGGCGTCCGTGTAATTATAATTGGATGTCGAGTAGCGGGGAATTGGAAAGGACTGATTGTTTTGACCACACCAATCCCTAAATGCAAGAGCCAAAACTGGAGCAGCTGAGAAGCGAACAAAGTCAATTGCTATCTGCTGAGGCTAAGGGCTGTAGAAACGATGAATAAAGTCAAGATCGCAGGCGCTATTGCATCCCAGGACTGAAAATGAGGGGGGGAAGGACTTCGGAAAAAGTGGGAAGGCGGAACAAGAGGTAGGATGTAAGAGGGGGAGATGAGGAATTAGGAGAGAGGGGAGGGAGGGGGAGGAGAGGTGAATGAGAGAGGGAGAGGAGGGAGAGAGGGTCAACGAATTGACACAATGGCGAGGTAGTAGGTAAAGATGAGGGTGGTGAGGATAGAATGAGAAGAGGTAAAGGTAAAGGGAAAAGAAGGGAATGGAAGAAGAGATGGAAGTTCGGGAAGAGGACAGACAACTGCCCGGGGGGGGGGGGAAGCATGCAGTAACTTAGTGATTATTCCTCTTTGGGCGATGGTCTGGAGTGCCACCGCCCAGAGCCGCCTTTCACTCACCACTTACTTTCTCCCTCACTTGCTCCCTCTCTTTACACTGCTGCTGTCTCTGCTATGCCATCATGGCATAGATGACTGCCATGATGACTGCCGTGCCCTCCAATTGGATCTATAACCACACAGATCATTATTGAGCAGGGTTTCAGAGCACACAATAGCATCTTTTCTTTTCCGTGCTTCTGAATGACCCTGTTAACACTCCAGATGCTATCTTCTTCTCATTCGAAAAGCTGTCCAAGTTCTGTTCTAATGACAGCCGACTGACTTCGACTTTCATGCTGAATGAGGCTGAGAGGAACGAATGAGAGCCAAAGGCTGACACATCCATGGTCTTGCTGAGTCCGGCTAACTAACTAGTTACTGACGTTACTGTAGTCAGCAACACCCCACAAAACGTGAACTCACAAAGCTTTTCTTATGAGAACCAGAATGTGGAGAGATTTTGGGATCGGAAGAACGTATTTGCTTGAACCGAATCATGTCACCAAGTACAGTTAAGCTTTTGTTTGGGTATTTTGGGTATAGGCCTCGAGTCGGTCTCAAATGCGGCGCATGGCCTTTTCATATGGCGGCCATTACTTCCGCACTGCTGAAGTGTCGTTGATAACGACCATCATTGAACCCCCAGCTCTCGTTCCTTTGTTTGAAGGCTCATGCAGACAGGCGACACAGCATACCCTATGGCTGCTGCCAAGATCCTCTCAACTTGTGGAGGTGACCTTGCACGGGCTGCCCTTCCGTAGTGAGCTCAGTGTGGCGGGATGTCCGATAGGCCGCCGGGGTTTGGCCCAGAGTCCGAGACAGATACTCATATTATCGCGCGGGCGAGATTGGACAATCGCCACTCAAGCAGAGGGTCACTGCGGGAGTTTCTGCCAAGACAAGCTTATCATAGGGTTGCACTTTTTTTTCCCGCTCCCCCTCCTCTCTTTTGGCCCCTCCGCCGCGAAGGATCCTCCTGTAGATGCGCCTATCTACACAATGCTCTTCTTGAATGCATGTAGGCCGGAGAGGGTACAAATCAAGCCGTCTGACAGTAGACTGAACGCTGTTCAAAGTCTTGGTGGTGCTCTAATAAGGTCACCGAGGTCGAAAACTTCTCGACCCACTCCGCTCCGAGCGTGCTGCAGAGAGAGACACATGGGCCGATGTGGATCGCAACCTTAACCCAGACAGGTAGACTGTCTCTGCCTGTCTGCCACTGCACTGATGGACAAAAGACTGCCTCTTTAAATTTTCCTCTCGGGTTTGACAGCCTCATCATGACCAAAACAAGACAAGAATGGTATCTTGCCACGTGCTGCCCAACCCTAGACTCGGGAAGTCCAACAGATTTTAGCCGGCGGAACATCTTCTTATCACCCAAGAAATATCATGAGATCCGCGGTTCTGCTGATTTGAGGTTAGACTGAGGGGGGCAAATCGCCAACTGATAAGAGAAAAAACCGCGTCCCACAAATAACATTCCAAAGATTCTGGAAGGCAAAAGATAAAGCGTGCCTGGGAGTTGCCGACTCGAACCAAACGGTCCCATCCATTCCTCGGCTAGCGCCGCCTGCAGTTTCTGGGACTCTTTTCAATGCCATACACCAGTTTCTCTTATTAATTTTTCGGAATAAGCCGTGCTACATATAAATAACGCCCTGGCATTTTTCTGGGGAAGAAAAAAAAAGTCTCTTTCCTTCTTCCTCTTGCTGCGAGCGATCGAACTGTCCCCCAAACAGCAGCAAGCAGCAAGCAGCAAGCAGCAAGAAGAAGCCTCCAAAGGATGGAGTACCCCACATTGGAAGAGGGCCACAAGGTCGAGCCGAAGCTGTCAACAGCTGAGGTGGAGGAACAATCCCTGGTGAAACCCGCGGGCTTCTTCCCTAAGGTCCTCTACTATGAGGCTCTGTTGGATAAGAAGTTGGGGATCGAATCCAACAGTATCGAGCGAGTGACGCCGGAAAAGAAGCAGCCTCCCAACAGTCTGGCCATGGGCTTGATCTGGGCGTCTGCGACCATGAACCTCAGCTGTTTCAGTACGGGATTCTTGGGGTGGGAGTTTGGCCTCAGCTTGGGGCAGGTCATCCCCATCATCATCTGCGCGACACTTCTGGGCGGGGCAATCACGGTTCGCATACCATTCTCTTGATAGGCAGTCAAGAGTGCTTACGTCTTTCTCCAATAGGGCTGGTGTGCTACCTTGGGTCCCGGTACTGGTCTTCGCCAAGTCGCCATCTCTCGATATTCCCTAGGATTCTACCCATCGTCTATCATCGCCGCGCTCAACGTGGTCGAACAGCTGGGCTGGTCCTCTGTCAGTTGTATCACCGCCGGCCAGGCTCTCGTCGCCGTCGCAGATGGAAACATCTCGATCGTCGTGGGAGTCATTATTGTGGCCTGCCTCAGTCTGGCCATCGTCTTTTTTGGCCTGAAAGTGGTGATGAGCCTCGAGCAGTGGATGTGGCTGATCGCCTTCATCATCTTCATGATCGTCTATGGGCAGTCAGGCAACCATGCCAACCTCGCCCAACCCGCTACAGTCTCCGGCTTGACCAAGTCCGGACAAGTCCTGAGTCTGATCAGTGTCATCTACGGATCCAGTGCCTCGTGGTCTTCCATCGTATCCGACTTCTACGTGCACTACCCGGTCAACACCTCCCGGGTCAAGGTTTTCTTCTTCACCACCCTGGGTATCTCCCTGCCGACCTGCATTGGCCTGCTGCTGGGCGCATGCATTGCCTCGGCGCTGGACACAAACGAGGAGTGGGCCGCTGCCTATGACGGCGGCATCGGCTATATGCTGCAGGAGCTCATTCATCCCAAGAAGTTTGCGAAATTCTGCTTAGTCCTGATGGTTCTGGCCAATGGTAAGCTTTCCCCATCACACGTACCAAAAATAATCCGATACTGACTCCATCCCAGTCGGTATGAATTGCATCAACATCTACGCCGCTTCCATCAGCGCGCAGTTGTTCGCCCCGCCCTTCCGCAAGGTGCCCCGCACCATCTGGACGGTGATCGTCTTCGGCTGCATCATCGCCATCGGTATCGCCGGTCGCGACCACTTGCTGACTGTGCTCAACAATTTCCTCTCGCTGCTGGGCTACTGGAACACCTCCTTCTTCGTCATCCTGTTCTGCGAACACTACCTTTTCCGCGGCGGCAACTTAGCCAACTACGACCTCGACGCCTGGGACACTCCCTCCCGCATGCCCATCGGCTTCGCCGGCCTGACCTCCTTCCTCTGCGGCGCCGCGGGCTGGATCGTCGGAATGGATGAAACCTACTACGTCGGCGCTCTGGCGAAGCTGATCGGCGACGACGGCGGTGATATCGCCAACGAGCTGGCGCTGGTCTTCACCACCATCTCCTTCATCCCATTGAGATGGCTCGAACTGAAATATGTCGGACGATGAAGGCTTTTGCGATTGGATTGAGTTTGTTTGGGTTAGGACTTTTCTAGAGAGATTCTTTTCATCTCCATATATACATACATAACGAAGACATAATGCCCGAGAAGGTGGTTGGGACACCTTAATAGGAATACATATATTCACTACTCATTTTATCACCTTATTCTCAAACTCCATCCATCCCATATACCACTCGCATGTGTGCATGCATGCAACTAGTAAACGCAAGGCAGGGATGGATCTCCCCAATCCCGCAGGTATAAGTCTCACCAGCCCCATTGAGCTTATACCATCCAGGACGTTTATGTACAGTACAGAACAGCCTTGCATATCAAACCTTACCCCCCTCGCTTCGTCCCGGGAGAAAGCGGACGGGGGTAGGTAAGCGGCCATGTCATTCCAACCTTACTTGCAGGTGGCCAACACCCCGCAAAGCTTGAATCTCTACTCCACTTGCAGTGGATGCAAGTATGTACAGTACATACAGCGACAGCCACGCAAGTCTTCTTTTCTTCAACCCCAATACCCTCTGGGAAATACAGTTGCTACCGCAGCCTCCGAGTGTCAAAAGTCAATCATCCATCGACGGAAGCTCTCACGTGCCGATGATAGTGTTCTCAACCACAAAGCCGAATCAGAAATACGCGCAGCATGCACATATCACCGTCGAGAACAAAGCACCTGGTATTCGCAAGTGGCGCATGGCATAGAAAAATGACATCATCGCTAAACCCGAGCTAAAAAAAAAAAAAAACAAAACAGAGAGAGAGAGAGAGAGAAAGAGAAAGACCGCTGAAAAGCTATCATACGCATATAAGATGGGCATCTCGGGGATGCAGCTGCAGCTGTATCCACTTACACATGGAAGTATACAAGTACCGCCGGTATATGCCCAAAAGCCCCATCCATACTAAGTGACGTGAGATGTGCACTATGAAACGGAGCGGTTGTTGGTAGGGAGAGTGCTTGGAAGCTCAATCGCCCATTCCCCTTCCGCAAAGTGGCAACAGAAACCTGAGGCCGTATGACGGTGTCAATCACGATCATCGTGGAGTGACGATCCCGTCTCTGAGTGGGTGAGCGAGCGTGTGCTGTGGGATTCAGAATGTACAGTGCCGGGCCGAGCCTGAGATGTTATCCACTTGGATTTTTGTAGATCGAAGAAGGGGTTTTGTTTGGGTCGCCTGAGATATTTCTCTTGGGTATGGAGAGCAGAGCTTTATGTATGGATTGGGGATATGCTGGACTACTGCGATTGGTTGTTGATGTTGGTTGTGGTTTTGCTGGTTGGTGGATGGAGGGGTAGGTGTATCCGTAGGAGGTATACAGATAAGCCGAAGAGGACTGTTTAGGTTGACGTCTATGCTAAACACCAAGCAAACGGACATGTTCTCTCTACGCACATCGAGTGTTCATCTGTGGTCTTAACACACCAGGTGCAATAGGCAAGTAGGGCTACCAATGCCCATCAGCACTGTACCTGTACCGGCTCAAAGCTTTCAAAGAGGAAAGCCGGACCTCTAGCAGTCCAGGTACCTGGATGACGCCCAATTTCTAGACTTTATTCCAAGGCCACAGCAGTACCACGGTGCACATACTCATAGCCTCGGTATCTGATCACGGGCATGGTCGAATTTGCACCCCAACCATTGAAGCTTTCTTGGAAGGTCAATATGTCCTAGGTCGACTTCAAAAGTCAGGGTCTATAGCACGGCTGCCTGCACACAAGTTGTCCCCTCGCTGGATTGATGACTACCAATCCCGATAGACTCCGTGCGTTATCGCTGGATCTCGATTCCACCATCAGCAAAGGTTATTGCCGCTTCTCACTCCGGTCAGTATGATGTGACACTTCATTCAATCAATAATTTGCGAAATACTGCAGCTTTATTGGACATAGGTCGATTCGACTCTGCCATCGAGTTCCAGGGGTAAGGGGAAGGGGAGTTAAAAGTACGGAATGTTCAAGTACGAGAAGAATGATAATTGACGGTCTAAGCGCCCCTTCCATTGTATCAAGATCTTAGTACTGAGTATTTGTTACATGGATGAGAGCCATCCCATCCAACCCATTCGATCGCAACAGCCGATAACTTATGGCAATTTGGAAAACCTGGCATCGAGGACACTTAGACGTCACTTTTGTTGCAGAAAAGGGAAAAGGACGGGATTTGCCGGTCCCCGCCCCGACCAAAAGTCTAAATGAGACTGGTCGAAGAAGGATGAAATCAGCCAAGTTTCACATAAGAGGTTCTAGCCGTGATATATCGAAATGGCAATGAGTGAGGAGGAGCTCCGTCGCGGGGCGCGCGCGCGCGCGCGTGTGTGTGTGTGTGTGTGTGTGTGTCTACGGTACTCTATTGTGGTGACTACCCATGTCCTTCTCAAACGAGGCTCTAGAGATCGTCGTCTGTCCATCGCTATAGAACAGTCTTCTATGCTTCCATTCTTCCAGCCCCCTACCCCCTAGCAAGGGTTCTCGGGATTTTTTTTCTCGTGGTTTATAGTCGGTTTAAATGATGATCAGTCATATATGATCTGCCCTCAGCCCACTCATTTTCCTTTTTATCCTACCAAAGATTGAGATTGGTGCGCATCAAGGGGGCAGGCAGCGGCAGCCCGGAAACAGATGTGTGACTCTTTCTCTCTCTGGTCTGGAAACAGAACAAGTCTTTTGCTGCAGGTGCAGGGGTCGGAAAGTGGTCAATAATCTAATGGTATTTCCGAATGGACGTGGTGTGTGTGTGTGTGTGTGTGTGTCGTGTTAATACGAGTATGATCGAAGCAACCCTCCTCAAATTCACGCACAGTACCTGCAGAATTCATCAGATCTGAGGTAGCAAACCTCCCTGTCGCAGTCCTCCCCATGAGCTGAGCTCAGTGCTCACTCATGTCAGTCACGGAGTAGACTGAGTTAGTGAGTACATGGTTGAGGAGCAACCTCAAAAGACGTTGATACTTCTAGCTTGATTCTCAAAAGCGATGACGCTATGCTCTGTCTGCCCTCCCAATCAATAGTAAGTAATGTAATATCGGTGGGCGTCGAGGTCGAAGGGGAAAAAGTATCCACTGCGGCATGGAACAATAATAGTTGTCGGTATTAAGGGCAGATTGATGTTGGGCACACAATTTGGTTGGACTGGAACTGATTTGTGCCCCGCCCTTCCTAGCGCGCCACTAACCGTTCCATCCTGTAGGTAATAAAGTATCATATTATTATTATTATTCTTGTCGGTTTGATTATTATTACCATCATTCATCCTGCAAGCTTCCCACTTCCAACTACTGATTATTCTTCTTATTCCCAGTGAATCGCCGAAGTCCGGGGCAGCTCAGACAATCTAATCTATCTGACCTACTAAATTACGATGATGCTAACTTGTTATTAGTCCCCGGCCGGGGACGGGAACCCAGAAATGACTAAGACCAGATTCGAGACCTTCGGCTCCCTGAGTCGTAGGGAGCGCTATACCTACCCTCCTGGGCCTTTTTCTCGTCCGAAGTGACGGAAAGGAGTGGAGTTGTACCAGAGAAAAAGGGAAGAGCATCAATCAGTCAGTTCGCGCTCCACATCTCAACATGCAACTGGGGTCGAAAGGACGTGTCTAGAATTTTTTTTTTTTCATTCTCTGGGTTGCCCGTTCGGATGCACTGCTCACTACACACTACACAGTATATCTGAGTCTGAGACAGATGATGTACGCCTTTTTTACGGGGGACAACAAAAGTACCGGCCAGTATTGTATGTATGTATGTAACTACAGACTGTACTGGCAGCAGTGCAATACCTACCTACGGAGTACCGACATCCCCTTTTAGACAATCCGTCATTGCTTGTTGTGACTGATAGGAGATAGGTACTAGGTAGTCTCCCAGCAGTTGTATGGGTTGGACATGGGACAACAAGAAGCCTGGCAGTTTGTCCTCCCATGGCGCTGGGATTATGATTGGAATGTTGACCGCGCGATTACTTTGAGTATGTAGTAGATGCTGTGGCACTGCTATACTACCTTGTGCACTCCGTAAGTCAGTAGTTTTTGATACCAGCCGCTGCCGTCTGTGGCTGGACCCGTTGTTGTAAAAATAATACAGAACAACGGGCCGTTTTAGCACTCGCTTCAATAATCAATCGCTTGCTTCTCTCCTCCACCGTTCAATCTAGTCTACCGGCTGCTGCTACTGCTACTGCTGCTGCTGTTGCTGCTCCTCCCCCCCTCCTCTCTCCCTCCACCTCGCTCTCGAATCGCCCACCTCCCCCCCCCTTCTTACCCCCACCCCTCTCTCTCTTCCTCTCTCTCCCACCGTCATCGCTGGCCGTCCTCCTCGGTGACTGTTATGTTATTACTTTTCTTGGTGTTGCAGATCTGTGTGCTGAGCTGTCGGTTATCTGCAGTGCATACTGCATTCAACAGAATCAAATTCCATCACTGACTTTTTGTTGTTCTTGATATTTTTTTATTTTACCTATTTTTTGGGGGAATTATTCCGTGAGGTTTCTGTTACCATACCAAACCTTCCTTTCTCTTTTGTCTGCGTTGTCTGATCTCCCTCTCTCCTTTTACCCGTTACCACCGCCGACAAGTCAGACAGAAACAGACACAGAGACAAGACAGGTCAGTCAACCTCAGTCACCGCCTAGTTAATGCTCTCTCTCCACGTGCTAACTAATGGTTGACGGTAGCCCGCGGCAGCTTCTTTCGCGCCCTCCCTTGCGTCTGTCCAAGTATTCTGGATCCCTCTCACATATCTGATTCCTCCGTCGCTGCTCCATCAAAATTCACAACCCCCCCCCCCTCCTCCTTCTCCCCGTTGGGGCTATCGATCTGACCGTGCAGCATTGCACCCACCCCTCCCCTCCCCGCCAGAAGTCCCCATTCGACACCTATCGTCGACAAAAGGTGATCGGTAGTGAAGAAGCACAGTGCGCACCGCCTCACTCAGTGGCATCCCTTCTCCCTCCAATCAAACCTCAGTCTTGGTCGCTCAACCCTGCTGCCACCAGTCGCTCGAACTGTCACTCCACCTCTCCCTTCACCCCCCCCCCTAAACCGCACGTCATGAATCACGATAGTTTCTCTTCCCTAAAATTTCGACGGTCGTCAAGCAAGCTTCACAAAGACCCTCCAAGCTTCACGTCCCGCATCTTGAA